TATATAAGAATTTACAAGATTAGCTCACAGTGGCCTCTCAGAGAGTCAGGGTGGAAGAGTGTAAAAGGGTTCTCTGTGCTGGAGATCTAAAGATCCAGTCGAAGGCCTGCAGCTCACTGTGATGTCCCGGATGAGTTCATATCAGGGTCCTGAAGGGTCTGCACCGGAAGTCAGGTAACTAAATCAAAGATGAAGGTGAAGACTGGAGCTCCTCCAAAGAAACAAGCAAGAAACAGAAGCAAGCCATTCTTCTTTGTTTCCCTTTTACACCATCCAAGCAATCAGTTCGCTATCACAGTCACTGAGTTCCCCTTTTCCTTTCTCTACTGAGATTCTTGGAGGACCTCTGGTCTATTTAGAATAAGAACCTGGGCCAGGGTAAATTAGGCAAGGGTGCTTTAGGGAGGCACTCTGTCACTCTCCATTCCTGGAATCACAGAAATGGCATTTTTGTGCCTTAGGCTCTTTGACAGCCTCTCCACTAGTCTCAGCCCTATTTATTTATTTATTATGCATTTGGTACATGGACTCACTACACATCCTGGACTTGTAGTGATTCTCCTGTTTTCAGCCTCCCCAGTGCTGCGATTACAGATATGTGCCACCTCGCTCAGTCTCAGTGGCTGGCTCTGGGGGCAGGGCCGGCACAGGATGTGGTGCCAAGAATCAAACCCCAGTCCCTTGTTTGCCTATGCAGGTGCTTAGTCTGCTGACCTATCTCACCCTGCCTAGAGGTTGTGATTAATTCATGAGCTACTTCTGGGATTATGGGTGTGAGTGCTACACCCAGGGTTAGCCTGAATATAATAGAAAGGAGAGGTTTGCTCCCTGCTACTCCTGCTGCTCCTCCCTTTTTGTTCTTGTTGTTTTCTGCTGCCATGAACTGCTACCTTCTGTCCTGAGCCACTCTGCCTTGGAGCCAGTTGAGTATGGACTGAAACCTCCACAAACTGTGAGCTAAATAAACCTTTCCTTCCTTAATTTTGGGTGTCAGGTATTTTATCCCAGCAATGAGAGAAAAGTAACCAAGACAGATGGCTTATATAACTCCATAAGAAAGATTAAATAGAGTCAGCAAGATAGCTCAGCAGACTAAGCACCTGCTTTGGCAAGTGCAGGGACCAGGGTTTGATCCCATGCCATGCCGTGCCGTGCCACCCCAGCCCCCCAGTCCCACTCCCAGCACTCGGAGACTCACTGAGACTGGACATGGTGGTCCACCCCTGTAATCCCAGCACTGTGGAGGCTGAAAACAGGAGGATCACCACTAGTCCAATTTGTATAGTGAGACCCTGTACCAAATACACAAATGAAAAAAAAAAAGATTAAATATTATAAAAGAAAACACAGGGAAAATATCTATGTCCTTAGCATATAGCAATTTCTTTAATAATACATGAGAAACTAAACTTAATATCTATATCTACATCTATGAAACAGTCATGCAAATCCATACATGGAATGTTTGTTTTGCCCCAGCACTTTGTTGATAACCTTTCCACTGGATAGCCCACTTTAAAGTTGGAGATAACAAAAGTTCAATAGCATTTCAATAAAGAAGACAAATATTTAAGTAGTGAAAAACCATATAAAAATATTTTCAAGATCATTACCCATCAAAGAAATGCAAATCAAAGCCATAATGTCACGCTACTACAACTCAAAAGGGCATTAATTGAAAGATTTACAGTACCATGTTTTGGATCTGTAGCAATGAAATTCCCAGTATTAGTGTGTGAATATCAATTATTTCAATCACTTTTGGAACAGTTTTGGCAGAATCTGCACCAAAAAAAGTATAATATATGCAATTCCAGCACTTCTTGCAATCGCTATCCAAATGACTATGTCTATCACAAAACACATGTAAGCTCATAGTATTATAAACAGCTAAATTAGACAGAAATTAATATGCCATCAAGAGCAACTGGGGCCTCAAGGAAGTCAGCACAGAAGATGAGACACACAAAGATTGTGGCTGGAGGGGAATCTGAAAAGATCCAGGACTCAAGATAGAGATGCAATAGCCAGGCGTGCAAGCCTCCCTCCAGATAAACAGCAACTTGAGATCACACTTCAGTTAGCTCTACCTGGCCCAATAACCCAGATAGGCAGCAGACACACTGGTGGGTGACCAAAACACCCAGACCCATCCATTTCCAAAAATGTCATTTTTCTTTCCATATACCCACATGACTTATTTCCCTATTGGTTAAATATTAGCTAAGTGATTATACTCATAATCTTATAGGCTGTAGTTTGACCTATGTTGTACCTACATCATGAATTTTCTATATAAATTACTCCTAACCAAGGACCTCGGTATCCACCCATTTGGAATTCCTCCTGGAAATCAAGGAGCTATTCTTCTAATTTCCAATAAAATGCTCTTAATTTCCTCCTTTAGCCTGAGACTTCATTCCTCAATGTTGAGATCACAAATTCAGCACATCTGACATCTAACAGTTTGAGAGTTCAACTCCCTATAGCAATAGTGGCTTTATTCTGAATAGTCAAGAACTCATCCCCAAAGTTCATCAACAGTAAAAACTGTACCATATTCATTCAGTAGAATTTTACCCAACAATGAAAAATTATGGGCTACCGCTGAATACAACAAGGATGCGCTTCACAAGCTGGGAATGGCATCTCACATCTGTAAGCTTAGCACTACAGGAGGTCGAGGCAGAAGGATCAAAAGCTTGAGCCTGTTCTGGGCATTGGGTTCAATTCTGGGGGGTGGGGACTCTTATTTATATTAAATAAAGTCAAAGATAATAATTTATTGTTTTATTCCATTTAAAGTTATTCAACACATTTATTTAAAGTCCAAAAACTAAAAGTTAATCTATGATAATAGAGGTCAGAGTAGCAACGACTTTCGCAGAGGGTTTTGAGTGAAAAAAGGGCCTGAAGATTTCTGAACTACTTCTTTAGAATAGGGAGCTAGAGGTTTTCCCCATAAAATCTGACACTGCCTGCATCAGTGCCAGCATCAGTCATGATATACAAATGACCTAGCCTCCTACCTGCCTTCTAGCATCCACAGAAGTGAGTAGAACATATGTTTAGCTAGCACCCTGGCTGCAAGAGGATCCAGAATATCTAGCTTTCCTCTTTTTAGTTTTCACAGGTGACAGGCAGGAGTCAGTGTTTCTCACAACAATGGATTCTATACCTCTCGATGATGGGTGAACTGAAGATTGAATAATGACCTCTGTTCCAGGAGGCAACCCTTCCAGTGGCTCTGGCTTTTTAAATGTTTGATGATTCTTGGTTTTATGCTCCATTTCCTCCTTCAGATTCAAAAACTGTAGCCGGCACTTGGAACACGGGAAGGCTCTCTTCTTGTTCCAGTGTCTCCAACAATGATTCACGTATGAATTTGCAGTTTTGAAAATTTTAAGACAAAACAGACAAAGCAGATCCTTAGTGTTTTCATGGCACGTTCTAAAATGTGTTTCCACGTCAGCAAAGGCTGATGACCTGTAATTGCAAACCTGGCACACGTAGGGCATTTCCCCAGGCTTATGATTGTCCTTCATGTGTTGTAAGAGAACTTGGTCTGTTTCAAATGACAGTTCACAGATTTTACAGATAGCAGAGGGCTCCTGGCTAGTGTGCACCCTGTCAATGTGACACTGCAGCTGGAATGGAGTTGGAAACTGCCGGTGGCAGTGCTGGCAAGTGGTGTGGTTTTCCCAGCTATCACCCATCTGCCTCTCAAGTTCCAAATGGTGTCTCATGTGATTCATAAATCTAGTGTTTTTCAGAACTTTCAAGCAGCTGAGGCATTTAAAGGTTGTGTAGGTCTTCGCTTCTTGCCGCCCATCTCCTTTGTGTTGTCCATAGTAAAAGTCACTGAGTAACAGGACCAGACTTCCTTTCTTGGGATCAAAGGTATTCTTCTCAATTGTTAGACTTGCTAAGCCTGTTTTCCTCAGACCTCCAGAGCTATTTCCTGGGTCTGGATCTCTGAGAGCAAAAGGTGCCTTGTCATTAGCGTAAGCCCGAGGAAAGGGTGTCCCATTCTGAGCATAGCTTGATGAGCAGATGCTTTTTGATGTTGCACACATGTCCATTTTAGGAGAGCTGCCAGACGGGGTCACGGCTGAAGAATGTACACTTGGGATTTCATCCTTGAGTTTAGATCTTTTGGGACTTCTGCTGATCTTATCAGCAGTGAAGGGTCGCTTTGACTCATCAGGAGGAATGACTTGTAGTGAGCTCATTTTATGAGTAAGGCTGGACGAAGACTCGGTGCTGATGGAACTATCTGTTGATGTCCGTCCAGACTGAGAATTTGGCAGGGCAGCTTTTGCTGTGACCACTGGGCTCACGTTCATTCTGGATGGCGACACATGAGCCCTGTCTTGACTGAGGTGGCCTATCTTTCGTTTTGAATGCGAGCCTGGAGTGACTCTGTTCAAAATGTTTGAAATAACCGGTTTTGAACTTGAAACCACCTTGACAAAGAGGATGTCAGAATCTTTATGTGCATCTTGCCTCCCAACAAAGATCAGATCATCATCTTCATCACTCTTGTCCCTCTGATTGGCTCCTCTTGGGTGCTTCTCTGGTGGTTCTGGTTCTTGCTCTTCGCTCAAGGAGCCGTGCTCTGCCATTTTAAAATTACTTTGGATTGAAGCACTGGTCCCTTCGACATCCACAGCTATCTTCTCATACATTGGCACCTAAGTGACAAGCATACCAAAACATTATTTATTTCAAAAGGTATTTCTTTATCTTCTTTTGCACATTAAGAAAAAAAAAAGCTAGAACTTTTGCTTTCTTTTTCCAGGGCTAGATATTGAACCTAGAGCTTTGTGAATGCTAGGTAAGTGGTCACCCACTGAGCTACACCTCCCAGTGGACTCAAGCTACTAAAGGGACATCCTAATTCAAAATTTGTCTCTCCACCCTCCACCAAGTCTTCTCCAATGCTAATGAAGCCCGGACCTGAGATTCAAAGAGGCACAAGTTGAACACCCTGGACTACCTACCTCCTTACATTTTATACCCTTGGTGCCTTATTGACCTCCCGGTCCCAGAAGTGCTCTCTTGGAAATCTAAGCTTTCTCGCTAACTTTCATAAAACTTAGCTCTCAAATACCAGCTACTCCTGTAATGTTAACGGTATTTTTTCCTCTGGGTCATCCCAAGTTACCCTCAGGGAATTAGTTCATAAACCACCACCAGATCTCCTATCCTGGATATCAAAAAATCCTCAAATTCCTTAACATAAAATGGCATAGCGTTTGCACACAACCTAGCACATCCTCCTGTGTACTTTAAAGCATCTCTAGATAACTTATGATACCCAATACAATAGAAATGCTATGCAAATAGTTGTCTTACTGTATCATTTAGGGAATAAAGGCAAAAAGTCTGTGCATGTTCAGTACATATGCAATTTTTTCAAATACATAGTTTTGTTTGGTAGTTGGTTGAATCCAAGGATGCAGGACCCACAGACAGGGAGGGCTGACTATCAAGCGAGCTGCTCAGTCCACAGACTTTGATGTCAGCCTTTTCCAGCATGCCCTTCACATCCTACAGCAATCAATTATCACACCATGTTTGCCTGTTTCCTAACCATGTCCAGGAGCTGACTGCTCCCTTCTACTGCCATTGTTACCTCCCCATGGAAAGCACCGTGCTCTCTCCATGGTCACTGTAGAATTTCCAGTGTCAACCTTTCCACTAGGCTAGAGATGCAGATCAGTGTTGGAGCACTTCCCTGAAGCTGTGTTCAACCCCCAGCACTGAAATAAAAACAACAGAACTGTTGTCAGATCCCCACATGGTCATCACACTACATCAATGAGAGGACGCTGTATGCTAACTGTTGGCTTGATCATTCCACGATGTATACAGGTTTCAAAATACTGCTCTCTATACCATAAATCAACTTGAGCATATTTAATCCCCAAATCCAAAATCTGAAATGCTCTAAAATCAGAAATGTACGTACTGGTACGATGCCACAAGTGGAAAAGTCCACAACTGACCTCACGTGACAGGTCAGAAAGGAGGCATAAATTGCCCATGCATAAAATTGCCTTCAGGACATTTACAAAAGGTATATATTAAAAATAAACAAGTTTCATGTTTAGATGTGCATTTCATCCAAGATATCTTAGTATTATATGTACATATTCCACACCAGCACACACACACAAAATCACCCCAAATTCTAAAATATTTCTGGAAATATTTCCTTTAAAAAGGAAAAAGAGAGGCTGGTGAGATGGCTCAGTGGTTTAAAGCACCTACTTAGAACAAGCTAAGCAAAGCCCAGGGACGGCGGTTCAATCCCCCAGCACCACATGCCCTGGTGGGCTGAGCTGGCCACACACACAAAATAAATGAAATAAAATAAATAATTTAAAAAAAAAATTAAAAAAAATATATAAAAAGGAAAAAGAAAAGACAATGTATATTGCATATATAGGCATATACAGATACCACAAGAGCTGGCATTTACTCTTTTGCTTACTTATCAGTCACCAGTGACTTTCCATCTCATTCATAGGAAATACCAGTCATTTGACAATATCCAGTAAAACTCTGGACATGTTTTGGCTAATGAGGTCTTGTCTTTTCTGCCTCTCACTCCCTCTGCTGCTGCCACAGTCTCAGTGAATGTGGAACACATCAGGCCCTTGTTCCCCTTATTCCCCTGCCTTGATGTTCTCTGTCTAGATTATCCCCTTTCAGGCCCCAGCCTTCCTCAGGGTCCAGTTTTCTCGCCAAGTCCTCCCTGACCATACTATCAAAACCCACAAGCTCCCTGGCACATGTCTTATCCCCTCCCCACATCCTTTTTTCTTAAGCTTAGCATTTATTACTGCTTATGATGCAACATACAAAATATCTCCTACTGCGGAGGGCAGGCAATGTGTTTTGCCTACTGCTGCCTCCAGAGCAATAGCTGCTATAGTGCAAATGCTAAATCTCTGTTAAACAATAGCTAATATTAACATGATCACTTATGTGTACAAGACTCTAATCCTTTTTTTATTTGGTACAGAGTCTTGCTACCCAACTCAGAGCAGCTTGGACTCACAGTGACCCTCCTGTCTCAGCGCCCCCACTGCTGCGATTACAGGAGCATGCCACCACACCCAGTTTGGGGGCCGATGTTGAGTGTCACAGGGGCAGCACAGTATGTGATACTGGGGATTGGACCTGGGTCCTTGTGCTTGCCAGGCAGGTACTTAGACCACCAAGATATTGCCCCAGCTCCAGGCTCTAATCTCTTAATTTTAGGTTTTCCAAATATTAAATGAGACCAGATCCACATGATTTAACACTGTCCTGCCATAGAGTAGGGGAAAAAGACCTTCCTACATATGTATAAATTAAAAGAAGTTTTATAAACTAATATCCTTACTTAATTATCAGGGCTCTTCTAATACCATCTATGCCATCGAAACATTTCATTGACTCCAAGGAGCATGCCTACATTTTCGTTTAAAAACTCTGAAAGTAGGTATCTAATATCACCTACGTATCAATAGGATATAAGCCAATATAAATATTTTCAGAATTTTTACCATTATATTGTTTATATTTTGTAGGACTATCAAAAAATAACACACTTGACGACATCTTAGAATTAATGAAAATCTCATTTCTTTTTGTATTATAGCCCAAACTTACTGTTACAGTTCATTAATGGATGCCAGCTACAGTTTGATAATCAGTGACTTAAGACAGGAGTTAGCAAGTCCTCCCCCCGACTTCTTTTGTTTGACATGGGGTCTCATTATGTATTCCAGGGCACCCTCAATCTTGCTGAGACCCTCTGCCTCAGCCTCCGAGTGCAGGGATTACGGGCATCTACCACCACACCTCCCTCTCCCCCTACTTTTATAGAGCCAGCAAACTAAGAATATTATTTTTATTTTTTCTTGTGGTATGGGAATTGAACCCAGGACCTTCACACTGAGCTAAATTCCCAGCCCTTTTACAATTTTATTTTATTTTATTTTTTTATTTTGAGACATATTCTTGCTAAATCGCTTAATTGCTCAAGTTGGTCTAGAACTTCAGCTTCCCAGAGTACTGGGATTATAGGCATGCAGCACCCTGCCCAGTTTATTCTGAATTTTTAAAAGCTTCTTGGGCTGGGAGATAGCTTGACAGCATAAGTGCTTGCCTGTCAAGCACAAGGACCCAAGTTCCATTCTGGTACCACATGCCATGCTGGCCCAAAAGCTGGGGTAGCGCACACATGTAATCCCAGAGCTGGGGAGGTGGAAATAGGAGTACCGCTACGAGTCAGAACTGTGGAGTGAGACCCTGTATCAATAAAATACTTTTTAAAAGTTGCTTTCTCTTTTTCCTCAGTTCTAGGACTTGAACCCAGGGACACTTTACCAATCTGCTATATCTCCAGTCCTTTTGCAAATATTTGCGACAGTCACGTTAAGTTACCCAGGTTAGATTCGAATTTGAGATACTCCTGCTTTAGTTTCCTGAATAGCTAAGATTATGGATGTTTACCACCGAACCCAGGTAGTTAGGTTTTTCTGTTTCTGTTTTTGTTGGGTTTTTTTCTCTCTTTTTTCTGTATTTTTTACTTCTACATTTTAAATTTGGGGAAGTAAAAATACCAAAGGAGTATTTTGTGACATGTGAAAATTGTATAAAATTCGAAATTTCAGCATCCACAATAAGCTTTTTTCCTACACAACCATGATTATTTAAATACTGACAACTATAGCTGCTTTACTTCTGGAATGACCGAGTACAATGGTAATAACAGAGACCAAGGGGCCTGCAAGGCCTAAATTTGTCAACCATAGTTGTAAAGAAGAAAAACGAAAGGGATTGGAGAAATAGCTCAGCGGTTTCAGCACCTGTCTGGAAAGCACAAAGTTCTGAGTTTGATCCCCAGTACCAAAAAACAAACAAAAACCAACAAGAAAAATGAATACCAACATTTTTAGCTTACCGATTCCTTAAATTGAATCTCCAGGTGTTGCGGTGCTGCCCAATATTTCTTACTCTGAGCCACAAGGGATATTACAGCTGTGGCGGCATCAGCGCTTTTAGCTCTCAGAAAAATCCAGAGCTCAACAACCTAGCTTCTAGGGTCCTCAGATCTTGCTGTCTGCTCTTCAAAGTTTTTTTCTGAGGGACAGTCAGAAGAGCCTATTCTTTTAAAGCCCACTGTTATCTAATCTGTAATATCTAAACTGGTTTAAATCACGTGCCTGAAACAACTCATTCTGATTTGATAGGATTTTTTAGCTGTAATCCAGAGAGATGCCAAAACCTTTCCTGAAATTTCTATGCAAAGGTTAAGAATGAAGTTTGGCTCCAGAGCCAGATCTAGGTAGGGGATGCCTCCGGCTTTGGCTCCGGTAGGGGTGGCAGAACACTCTCCTGTCTCTGCTGCTGGGAGTCCAACCATCTTCTCTCCAGTTTATGTGCGTGAACTGAAATCAACTGCCTGGCCTGCGCGGGGAGCTCCAGGGGGCAGGCCTCCCTTCCACACGTCTGGGTAGTCTGTAGCTCTAGTGAATTTCCAGTTGTTCAAATAAGGTACTCACTGTGGGTCTTCATCCGGTTTCGCAAAGTAGCAGCTCACACCTTTCTTGATCCATTAACCAGGATAGAAGGCTGGTTACACATCTCGGTGTTCCCTTCTCTCCAACCACCCTTCCCCCTCCAACAG